CTATATTAGCGTATTCATAGTCAGCAATATATACGTACAGTACCTATCTAAAGGCTTGCGAAGACGACAAACAATCCTTACTAGACTTTTGTTTTATTGAACCCATAGGCACGCGTCAATATGAATATAAATCTTTCAGCTTTAGCTACACATTTTTGGTAGAGAAGCGAAGTTGAGTCATGGGCGTATCGTACGAGTTACATCAATGAATCTAGACATTAAATAATAGAACATATAGAATTGTCTACTTGAGAGTTTTAGGAAAATCATTTAAAATTATGTTTATATTTATTTTATACCTAAAAATGAGATTTAATTAAAACAAAACTTTATTAATTAATTTGAAATGTCATGGAAAATAGTCGGTTTCGTGACGTTTGAGTTGTAACGTTACATTTTGTACAAAATGCTAAAATTCACTACGTAGTTCGTTATTTACTTAAAACGACATTCTAAACAACAATGAGAGAAATGTTTAGAAATCTGACGATACACAATGCTTGGTCGTGGATTGTGCACGTTTAGTATCTTGTAAAATAAGACACAGAAAAGATCTTAAAAATATTTCTAAAAATTAAACTTTCGTCTGTGCAGACCCTAAAGTCTCAAATGACAAAAAACTAATAAAATAGCAAATAGATATAACGTGGGCTTATTATAATTATATTTCATAACGAAGTATGAACAACTCCTACTAAATTATATGGGTCGAAACATTGCCGTAAATAATAATAATTTCATTTTACTTCAAATTTACTTCTGTAATTATATTGTTATCCGAAGAAGCAATTTATTTCATAAATCTTCTACATAAAATAAACAATGTTTTTTATCTATATTCTAGACAGAATGCTAACATGGAAGCTAGTCATAATTTTTAATATAATTTTGCTGTATTTTTTTATACAGAAAATAATAATAAATGTAAAACCTGGTGACGTTGCTCCGGTGGATAGATATGTATTCGTTTAATACTGTTTGCTTTTACGCAAATACTATTGAACAAATTTTGAATGAAATTTGGTAAATATAACCGTGGAATATAGCTGGTTTGTCAATAAAGTTACATATATTTCCATATAAAAATAACTACTACTACTACTGACTAGCAGTATCCCGCGTTTTCGTATCAGAATGCTAACCGTGTACTACATTTTATTCAAGTTCGTTCAGCGCGTTTTTTTATTGACTTTCAGTTCAGTAGCTTGTCGTAAAAGAGTAAGAAACACGCAACCTTACATATATTTTTACAATTTTCAAATTCACATTTATAATAGTAATAGAATGAATATTAATACCTATAAAAATCGGGCTTATTATTATAAGCCGCTTATTTCTGCCAAGTTTTATAAAGTAGGTACGTTTTATAAAACACTTTCGTAGTAAAAAATTAAGTCAATAATAATGAAGCTAATAATAGGTATTCAAATTACTTATTCACCACCAAATTCGTTTACTAATGATGCAAGAATAAATTCATCTATCCTTTCCTTAAATATATACCTAAATATTCTTATCTTATAACTGCCTAAGTATGAAAGATCAGCATTCCTTCTTTTATAAACGTTTACATTAATTAAATTTCCTGTAACTTATTAAATTCAATAATATTCGTAACAAATTAAATCTTTTAGATTTTATTTTTTATTTGGATAATATAATTAAGACAAATAACGTTGTTAAAAAGAGTGCTAGACTTTAATATGAATGAGTATAACATGTTTATCGTTTTAAGCTGAAAACATGAGCCAAACTGCTTGCTTGCTTAAAATAATTATAATTATACTATAGCAAATTCTGACTCAGATATTATGCCTCCATACACAGAAATTTCAATACTCATCTTCAACACAGCCCTGCACAACTGCTTGGGGGCTGAAATACGAGTAAGATAGAGGTAGAAGTAGACAACTGTAGTACAAAACCTTTCATTATGTAGTTACGTACAAAAATATATTTTACCTTATTTTTAACAGTAGATAATATGTACGAGTAGGTTTTCCTGGGATTACTGTGTAGGTTTTACTGTTCATATATGCAAATCTGAAAGAACCACATAACTTATTCTAGACAGATCTTTCTTAAGATTAATGATAGATAACTAAAAGGAGAATATCTAATATGTCTACTTATTTATTCATTTTTCTATAAATATAAAGCTTCTTAGAATATAGATAGAAATAGTAAATAATTTACCAAAGAAAATACAAAACAAAGCTCTAAATATCACAGACTAATTACTGATATTGTGTCTCGTATGATAGAAATTTGCTAGCTCTTATATGACACTTTGTTTCTTTGTACACCACATTCACGCAACACTACACACACAAATAATACACACTTTTACACAAATTATTACTGAACTCCCAGTGATGCGACGTTTCAAATAAGTGTCTCCATATATTTTATTTTTGCATTTTTTTTTTCTATTTAACTCAACCTACCCTCCAAAAATAAGTATAATATTGTCTGGTATACAAATTGGGAATCTGTAATTGACTAATGTATAGTGTAAACATAATATTCTAGATACGAGTATAAGCTGTTGATTCCAGATGTAATATTAAAATAAATAAATAAAAAATAATTTACAAACTGTAATCCATAGTCACACGTATTGTAATTCTATGAAAAAAAATACATTAATATCACGAGCAATAACAATCATTCACAGTTTCGTTCTACTAATAAGTCAAAAAAGAGGATGACGAAACAATCTAAAATAAATAAAAGGAAATTATCTACCTACGCAAACAAAGTTACGCAAAACTCAACCACTAGTGAATTTTTGTTGAATTTTTCTTTAGATTTAAAAAGACGACGAAAGTAAAATTTATTTCCCTTGCCAAATGAAATTTAATAAGTATTTTAGTAAAAACAAACTCAAACTTAGCATTGTATTATTAAAACCACGGGATTCATTTTATATTTACATTATTTGATTACATTTTATTAAACAAAGAACCACATAATTGTTTATATATACTATAAATTTTGCAAGGTTTGTAGAAAACGACTTGTTACGAGTATAATCTGTAAGTAACCAATGCGTCACTCGAGTTATGTGTGAATGTAAGATCAATTTTTTAATTTAACTACTTGAAATATATTAAAGTATGACTACATAAGCATAAACAGGTATAAAACTAAAGATAAAGCTGAACTTCCGACCTAGTTCAGTGGCCTGACACAGATAGGATGCAATCTGGACACCTGGGCTGCTCATATACTTAGCTGGGTCGGCCTTACATTTGCAAGTCTCCAGATCGTGACTTTACTTATATCTATTAGAAATTACAACAAAAAATAACAAAGTAATGACAATTATGATATTGACTGATGATAGACTTTATTTACATCAAAATCTAAGTTTATTAAACTTTTATTTATATACTTCCTTGCTACTTTCCAAAAATTGTCCTGCGGCTTTACGCAATATTCTATTCCAATAACATTTATAAATCTAATTTATTCTTTACATATCTTTCACGCTGTAGTTAAAACTATATATGATTCCTATAGATGCTAACTATACTGCTGACTATAATAAATGTATCAAATTAATTTATGTTCTCACCCCAGAATACTTTACCAAGATCTTCAAATAAAGATACATTATAGTATATCAAAAATAATATAAACACTGTTTAGTTTACAACTACACAATTTACTCATAATTTAATTTGACGTGCATTCTATCTATTTACATTTCTAACATTGACGTGGCTATAAAAATAAATGCAAATCTCCATCATCTACTATTTTGGTAGTGAATATACCCGTAAGGTGGTTATATAATTTTTCATTGTATCGACTTGCAACGTCGCCAAAAAGGCGCCATTAGGTCGTTGATCCCTTGTTTGTGACTATATACTTCCGTACCAAAACTGACGATGCACTTCGACTGCACCCAAATCTCGATAACTCCCTGTCGCCCGACCTACCCCATGGTACTTCAGAACCACTTGCTAAGCTTTAAGTAACTATAAATTCACATTTAACTTTGTTTTATCAAACTATGAATAAATAAGATTTATTTACATTTGTCCAATTCCAATATATATATATATATATATTATTTATAGTAAGTAGAAAATAATATAAATATAATAATTTGCCAAAGGTTGAAGTCCGCCTTTTGTTCCAGATATTTTTTTGTAATGTGAACGAAAAACAACGAAAAGAACAATAGGATTCAATATCTGCTATGAACACAGATGATAAAAATGATAGACACGAGCAAAGATCACGTATCAAAGATTCTATACAGCTAATGTAAGGGTGATGCAATTGCTCAAAATTGATAACCATAAAAATCTATCAAACGACTGTTCGTAAAATTGTGAGCTACATAATTCTATTTAATAACAAGCTTTTAACATCACTAGTTGGCTACATAAAAAGGAGTTCTAATTCCAATTTTCTGCGCAAGTCAATGGCTAAAAACAAAAAATTCAATTTGGAATAGTTTAATTAACAATAAATTAAATTTTAGTCTCTACTTGTAGTCAACGATCATGTTATTGTTTCAAAATACAAAAAGAATTCTTATGTATATAAAATTCGACAAACATATATGTACAAATAAAATATTATTATATATTTATAGACAAGTAACAAAAGCAGACTCATTTTTGCATAACACAATTATTATTCAATTTCCAAAGAGTTTCATTCTATAATAAATGATATAGAGCCGATTACACTATTTGCTGCTAAATAAATATTTTAAAAATTTATTATTATATAAAACGTTTGCATAAAATATGTTAAGAATTAATTTTAAAATCTATATTAAATGCCTTAAATAAAACTAATAACAACATGTCATCGATGAATTAACGCTAAAGGCCCGGAAAAGAGTGTTACAGTATTGCAAGATGAATATAATCTGCGGGCTCGATCGATAGCAGAGTAGCGCGGAGTTGGGGTGTAGGGGGTTGGGCAACTTGGGGTTTGAGAAAGGCTGGGGATACTAAGGGGGGTTCATTGAGAACGTGTGGGCGGCGCGCGTGGGCGAGTCGCTTATATAGCCGCCCGAGCCTCCTTCCTACGTAGTCGTGTTCCAAACGCGCCCGAGCCGTCAGCAGATAGTGTAAAAAATGTGCAACATGCAACTTTCGAGTTTAAGGTATGTATATCAATATTTTTTTTTTATTCATATTGGATTGTAACAATAATTACAAACATTCTAATCAAATAAGTAGAAACTATAAAATAATAGTTTTAATTATAATCAAATAATATTATAACTAATAACAATATTAAAAAAAATTGTAAGCCATTGTTTAAATATATACGAATATAGAAATTCATTATCTTATACTTTAAACTTTAATATTCCAAATACGTACTTAAAATATTACAGTTCAAAATATTAATAATAGTTATGAAGAAAATTTATTTAATATATTATTTTTTGTAGAATGTTGATCGTCTTACTCGGCTATTTAATAGCACAAGCTAATTCATACCCAATGCAAGGATGGCCTATGTATCCACAAACTGCTAGAGAATATCCTGATGATGAGTATTATTATGCTCCAAAAGTTCAATATTACTATGATGCGCCAGCAATAAGCGTCCCTGAAGTTTATGGGCAAGTCCCTTATCCATATTACTATGATCCATATGACCATTTTACGTCAAATGATGCTCCAAAGAGACACGAAGAGAGACTAGCTGCACTGCCTATTGGACAAGAGACATGGTTTGAAAGTGATACTGCACCCCGCTGGCGATCTAACGACGTGGATGACGTCAGTGCAGCCTTTTTAGACAATTTAATTCTAACTCAAATGGCTCAAGACGCACAGAGACGCCGTGAGAATGCTCGCGCAGCCTTTCCGCCTGTTGATTATGAAGAGAGAGATACTGAAGATGAAGATGTACGTGAACTAAAAGCTTTGGCGGGAAAACCTCTCTACCATGTACCTAAAACGGTTCCCAGAACTGAAGATGAAGACTACTCTTCTGACGATGGTTTCATAAATTGGAATGGTAACAAAAGAAGCATGACAACTGAATCACCTATTTCTAGTACGGAAAAGCAGAAAATGGGACAAAAAGAAGAAGTAATGCTCCGACCAGCGCAAACCCAAATACATCAAAATTATCATACTGCACAAAACAAAAGAAATTCATCTTTTTATGACACAATCGCCCAACTATTAGCGAATAAATCGAAGAACGCAATTGCACAGGTAAGTTGCTATATGCATCTAAATTGTCATGTTATATTTTTATTGCAGAAAAATATAATTATACATAATACTTAATACATAATAATTGGTTCGGATATGTCTATAAGAAATATTCACAGTTGTTTTAGAACTTACTAAGACCGTGGAAACCCCGACGTCTAAAAATAGCATGGCCGGGCCGGGGGTGGCGGGTGACACGACAGGCTGAGAGGCCGGGTCAAACAGGGGAGGGGAAGGGTACTAACACTAAATATCACCTATAGAGCACTATCTACACACGTTTTCGACTTTCATTTATTAATAGACAAGGTCATTGAGTTAACATTTTCCTATTTTGTACACAGGAATCTACAAAACCACGGAGGATCGATAAACGCTTTGTGGCAGGAGATAGCGACCTCGTCGTAGAACTACGTGGATTGAAACATCGCATTGCAACTTAAACAGATGCATCTGATTACCGCCAACAAATATGAGACTGAGTATTAAGTAGATTAAATAGATATCGACCACGGCGATGTCATGGAAAACAGCCGCGAGACTTTCAAAATAACTAAAAAAAATTTGCATATACAATCATATCCATTATACAAACCGATACATCACCACTTAACCATCTTTGTATTAATAATAAGAAAAGTATTCACAAGATTATAACTTTACTACGTCCTTTTTTCGATATTTTAAAATATTTAAGACGCAATATCTACAGATTAGAGTAGATGTTAACCGAGTACCGAGGGCGCGTTACGAGTGTAAATTATCGTACAAAATATGACTATAATACCCATTATAGAATGAATTGACTGTATATGCATGGTACATAATTAATAAGAAAAAGTTGCTCCCTTCAATTGGCAGCTAATATATCGCACAACATAGTGTGCATCTGTAAATATTGTAGGTACTGATTGTCTAAGACTTAACTATTATTTAGATAGAAATTAATTCATCGAAATTTGTGAAAATAACAGCAAGAAAATGAGTATTTTCTGAAAAATACTTGAATTGTAATTCTATAAGTTATAAACAATTGATTGAGCTTGATGAAGTGACACTATTGTGAATGAGAAAAGCTTCTAAACTTTATCTACTGTTAATATATTTAGTATCGTTAAAACATATAATCGAGGAATAGACTGTTGTTAATCTCTGGCGGCCTAAATATTCAGTTCACAATTAAAATCACCAATTGAAACCGTCATCTCTTAAAATATTTTAAAAATGAGATGTAGGTAGTTGTAGTGCTTATAAACATGAGTATTGTATATTTTTATCGGTATTGCCTATAGGTACAAATAGGTAAACACGTCTCTGCAAGTGTACCATACACGACAACACAAAACTACCTATCTATATATAATGTTATCAGAATAGCTATTGTTATTCATACTTGTTTTTTCAGATGTCAAACCTCTTTTTTATATCTAAACATAAGGATTAAAGCAACTAATTCATAATAGTTTTACATGTGTCTATTTTGTACCTGTTCTATAGCCAGGTGCTAAGTATTATGATTTTAAATTATAATCGTCTACATTGACAATATCACAACTTGCAAAGCAAAATGTAATATAATTTATACGAATATATATTATAATATACCTATATATAATAAAATATCTATTTATCTATACTAATGATTCTCGCAAAATGCTGAGGATTAGGTGATATTTTAGCTTTACAGCTTCTTAACTAACATTTTAAAATACGATTGGTCTATGAGACTTTAATGAAAGTAACGTTTAAATAATTGCGTCCTTTATCTTTTCCATTGACCTAATCCGAAATTGAAAGTCATCCTTAGCTTTTTTAACTAGTAATTAAGATCTTCCCTCGAATTTGCTATCCTGCTGAACCACTGCGATTTCCTAATGTTTCTCGCAACTACGGATTCGACATTAAAACGTAGGTAACGTATCTTACAAAGTACATATCTGTTTATATAAAGTCAAATTACTTACATTCCTGTGTTAATAGATAGAATCTAACCAAATCCTGTAACTTAGTTTGTAATAAAATAATTAGTACCTATGACCTGTAAAGTATTACTAGTTGATGTTAAAGTTAATTATCGATATTACATTTCAAATGTAAATTGTCTGCATATAACTCGACTTTTTTGATTTATTTTCTCACAACTTATACGAATATTACTCATTTTTTAATATTTTCTTAACATATAATTTTTATATGTTTTAAAACACTTTCACAGTTTAATAATAATGAATTGCTCAGATGAATGTACGTACAGTATAAAATAATAATTCCCTTTAATTTATAGAGAAATTAACATATTTTAATACATATATATTTTATTTTAATAAAAATACAAAAACAGTGTACCTTTGGATGGAAGTCCAATTTTATTAGAAAACTACATATAACAATGTTGTATCTAAATAATGAAAAAAGGAGAAAAAATAAATGCCACTTCAATACAATGTCTCATTTCATTAATCCTTTTTAATAACTTTTTTTAATATTTCAATATATTAGTAATAGCCTATATTTACCTACGGGTACTTAATGTTTATGTAATCTATCTACGATTTTGACATTTTGATCGATATATATGTATACATATGTAGGCATGTATGCCCATCTGTTCCCTTATAACTTCTATAGTACTTACCATAATTTAACAAATGAGGTATCGCTGGAAACATTTTAATCATCCGTTAATTATAGATATTTGACGTTACATTAAATTAAATATGGCGCTTTTTAGAGGATATAAAGTCATGAACTCAAAAACAAACAAACGCGATGTTAGATATATGAAGAATACGTACTTTCTAAAATCACAGGTCAAATATGAGCCAAACATTTTTTCTCTCCAAACCTACCAAAAATAGCGGACTAGCTAAATTATTACGCCAAAATAATTTAAATAAAAAATCACGCCCTAAAGAGTATGAAACAAAAAAACTTATTTGAAATTGTTATAGACAGATAGATACTTTTTATTGTTTCATCCAAAAGATTACAATAGTGAACTTATTATAGATACCAACAATTACAAGAAATGATCACAGTGAAAAACAATGTTATATACAAAGTATTTAATATTTATTTTCAACATAATAAATAACATATGCATATTTATAATAATATTCAGAAGATAGCTTTGATCGTAAGCCATCTCATATATATGGTCATGTGTCGCCCTCTAGATGTATAAAGTGTTGAACTTTGCCCTAAAGCTTACTATACTATATTTTTATTTTTATATATTTTTATATCCGTAACATATGTTCCTTTGTTAAATTTACTTATATATATATACTTATTACGGATAGATCTTCAATCTTATCCCTATTCGTCAGCTTATTTATAATTCCAAGTTACGAAATAAAATATAAAATCCTATTTAGTTACACTGCAAACTTAAAATTCAAACATCATGAGGTGTTCTTGGTAGAGGGATTAGACGAGAGGAAAATGCTTGCAATGTAAAAACACATCAGAATAATTAAAACCAATGAAAAATGGATACTGTTTGCAAATTTATAAATAATAAAATATACACGGTGATATTTGTTTACTAAAAGTATTTTGAAACAAGCACATCGTCCACGTCTAGCCAGATTTGAAAGTTTTTTCATAGTCCACATTATTCAAAGATGTGTCAGATTATGATTTTTCTCTGATTTTTATCACTTTTAGCACGAACGTGGTTAAAAAAATATTGGTCTGTAGTTCTTCAGTAATTTATCACTATACAGTGCAGCTAGAGTAACATTTCCAATTTCATCCCACAAAAAATATCCATGTTAAAATCATTTGACACCATTGCCGGGTGAGATTAGCTTATTGTTTGTCATAAGTATTGGTCTTAGATTTGTATTGTAAGCAGCAGTGTTGTATACAATTCATAGAACATAGAACAGTCCATAGAACTTCTTGATCTTACTCCAAATTTTGCAAGCACTTCGTTTGTGGATCACACACATCGTGTGTGTTCCACCAAGTAGAGGAATGAGTAGTAATTTTAAGTTGAAGCTTGTCAGTGCCACATAAGGAATAAGAATTGCTCTCGACAAGAAATACAAGATTTTTTACATAATGGGGTGTAACTGGAAAAGGATGTGCCAACTGCGACACAGACGGATAGAGAGCCACATGAGCCGTGTACGATATTGGGACATATGATAATATTTGCGAAGCCCAAATATGAACCGTATGCATAAATTCTGAAGACGCTCAAGTTTATTTAACTGCTCTTCGGTGACATTTGAGTAACAGGAATCAACGTAGTCAAGGATGGGAAGGAGCGAGATGTTCATACATCTCGCATCTCGCAAGCGCAATTTTGGTATCCGTAAGAAGAACCTTACGCAACCTGTAAAGTTGCCGCAAACATCCTCCTGCTAATCTCAGCAATCTAAGGTAACCAGGATAATGTATTATCAAAATAAATGCTTAAATTTTTGTCACGTTGACTGTAGTTTAACTTAATTTCTTTAAAGATTACAGAAAGAAGATCATTCAAAGACATTCTAGAAATGTAACTAGGGCTACCTATGATTATAACCTGGGTTTTAGTCGGATTTACAGCAAGATCATAGGATTTGTTCCAGACAGATATTCGTTCGAGGTCTTCGTTTATTGTATTTACTGCAAAAGAAATATCAGTAAAAGGAACCCGGCAGTAAATTTGGAGATCATCTGCATAAAGATGGTAGGCAGACAGAAGCTGAGACGTGATATTGCTGATAAATAAAGCAAATAAAAGGGGACATAAGACGCCACCCTGGGGCACCGCAGATGTACTACACCAAAATGACAAAGAGTCGTTAATAGGAATATGCTGACGCGCAACCAGGTCATTACGAAACCACTCAATTGCCGTTGGAGATATGTTGAGGGAAGTCATCAGTTACAACAAAATGTAGAAATCAACGGTATTGAAAACATTACTAAAATCTAATAATGTTAGGACTGTCAGATCTGAGTTATTCATACCGAAACGGATGTCATCAGAGAAATTTACGAAAGCAGAAGTCGCATTGCGACCTGCGCGGAAACTAAATTGCAAAGGATATTTTTGGACAGAAACAAGTTTAATTGCTGATGTACTAACTTTTTCAGAGCTTTGTAAAGGAAAAAAAGAATTAATATAGGACGATAATTGGAGAAACATGTAGGGATATTTTTTAGGTAGAGAAATAAATAAGGCTTCTTTCCAAATATAAGGAAAAATACCTAAGGAAAATGCATTATTAAAGAGAAGAGTAATAGTTGGCAACAGGATATCAAGGATAGGCATAATCATAGCACGACTGATGTAGTCGGTACCCAGAGCATTAGAAGATATTGACAGTAAGCTCTTCTCGAGATCACAATTAGACAATTGTTCAAAAACAAAAGGAGTTCAATCAGACGTTGGAAGCGAAGAAAGATAAGACAGTGTTTTAACTTGTCATTAGAATCAACAATAGTAGAGTAACAGAAATATCTATTAAGGTTCTCAATATCAAAAATAGAGAAACTGCTATTGTGATTTCTTCCAACTCTTAAAGTTTTAAGAAATTTCTAGTCTTTGCCTAGATCTCCGTTCTCAACACATTTATGGATGTGGCGACACACCCTACACATCTTATTATAGAGCTCTATTACCTTTTCCATGCGTGAACTGGAGTAGATACTTATTATACTACGCTGTAAGCCGACTTGGATATATCTATTAAGCTAATTTTAAAACTGGAAGACTGGACTTATTTACATTGAAGTCACAGAACTTTTTATTCAACAATTTTTGTTTATTGGTTAGCCTGCAAAATTTAATATTCAAAATGCTAAGTATTGACAAAATTTTAGCATTACGGATTGAAAGCTTTTAGAGATGTTATTAAAATGTATTGTGTATAAAAAATAAATCATATAATATATATTATAATAAATAATTAATAATATAATAAATACTAATTATATTAAATTAACTTTTATTCTACTTCTTTTTCTTAAAATTATTTTTTTCAGTAAGTTTACGTAAAAAGTTAGTCACATGGATGTTTTGTAATTTTTTTGCTGAAGTCTATAAAATGCCAACAATCTTGAAACTTTTACAATGAAGATATTTCTACATCAGACCTTGCCGAGAAGCAGTATGAAAGTTAAAACATTGTATTATCGGTATTCGCAATGACCTATATACCTACATATGTACCAAATTTCATGATGATAAGCTGAGCTATTGAAGCGGAAGAAGCAAGAATCAAACTCGCCTTCACATTTATAATAGTAGTAGAAATTGTACTAGGTACAACAGTTGAGTATTTCTGTCTTTAATTAAGTATAGCCTCCAAATATAGATAGAGGGCCTCATATTTACTATAAAATATAATATTAAGTACCTTAGTAGGTACTTGATTATTTTTAAGGCTTACCTTAACTGGCCCATGAAGACAGCTAAAATCATAAAACATTGCAGGTATTTGAAAAGTGTATCATACCCTTTGTTTTGTTTGATGAAAAGTTATTCATTTAATTAGATACATAACTAAGTAACAAAATAAACGCCAGCGGAGAGAGGAAGGCGGAATATAGATAGACACTAATGTAACATTTATACAAGTAATTACGTGATGTACCACTTCGTTGTAGGGTAAATTTCAAATTTGAATAATTTACCTGTATATTAATGGTACAAATTAATGGTAAAATATCTTAATCCTTATAAATAACTCAATATTAAAATCCCCTTCCCCCATTCAAGTGATAGGAAGGAAAATAAAAACTTTTGCACACTCATGAGTTTATGAAGCAAAAAATATGAAATAATACAGTTTATTTATTTGATCAACTGGGTGAGCTTTACAATCTTCCAAATCGCTCATCCAGTAAAGCATCAGTACAAGAACATATAGATTATAATTAACAATAAGAGTGAAATACCGTATAACTACATAACAATAATAGAAATAACATTATAAATTATATAAAGGTGTGAATATTACAGGAAAAATAAAACGATGTAACAACTACCGGTTTAACTTATGTGTAATTAGATCGATAAAGCTCGACTAGTTTCAGGACTAAATTGGGATCCTTAATCATGAGCGGCTGTGACGCGAACGCAAGCCTGACTACGCACTTCGGCTCGTCACAGATAAGAAAAACGGCGTTTGGAAATCTTCGTCTTCTTCTTCATCTATTGTGTTATTGTCGCTGACTGTGTTGGTAATCCGTCGTGTTCACAGTGTTGCTTTTTTACTTGACGTCTTCAGCATTAACCATAAATGAAATGAAAAAGAGGAATGGTTTCGAGTGTTGACAGTCCTACAAGCTGCCAACCCAAGTGAATGCAAGCTTTTATCTCATGTCGAAAGGGTATCTGTATTTCTACCATATATAAGTAACAAACAAAATAGGACGCACATAACATAGATTTTTTTTAAAAGGATCTTTCGTCCTCCAGGTCGAATAAGGCAAAAGTTGC